TTTTGCATTATAATTAGCTTACAACGTACCAAAACCAGAAAGATTTAACATTAAAAGGAAAATTATTGCTAGCTAAACCTAAAGAAAATAGTGAAATGTGTGGGCAAGAAATGGTGAGTAACTTTATACCAGAGATTTTTATTAATCTATTGATTATTGTGTACATAATACGTACTATATTTTGTTTAATAGGATCAATACATAGATGTGGAGAAAATGGCAAAAGACCATAAATTGCATCAGATAAAAAATAATATTTTGAGTGAGTGGTTAACGAATCATTTGATTCCACATAACCGTAAAGGAAAAAAAGAAGATCTTATCAATAAAATATTATCTCATATGAGGAATACCCAAATTTTAAAACATTTTCGTGTGTAATTTTCAGAATCATTTTGTAATTAACAAACCGTATAGTTCGTATAATAAAGGCTAACGTTAAGTATATACAACAACATGATGATGAAATAAATGTACTGTACAATATTTGTCCTCGCCGTAGTCAAGTAACATCGTACATATATACTTACATACATGTCCGGCATTTGATATATTTTTTGAAGTAGCAAAGGAATATAAAAGTAATCGGGGCGATTATTACGGGGCAAAATTATTTTGATCATAGAAAAGAGCGGACGTTTCAAAAGTTAAACTAAAGGTTATTGTATATTCAGTATAAATAATAAATAGTTTATATTTATAGTATTTATAGTTATACTTCAAGTTTTGCAAAACTCTTCGGCCGCAACACGCTTCATTAGCGAGAATAGGTGCAGAAATTGCTTTGCTCTGATTGATTGACGGACGATTTAATGCTAAGACAGGATTCAAGATAGAAAAATCGTGCAAAACCTTACACTGTACTGCAAAAAAAAAAGAGAAAATTACACACCTCAACTTCTGTATGATTGTCTTGTTATCTAAAGAAACACTTGTATCCTCACTATTTTACCGCGCATCCAATCCGTAATGAATCCTCTCTTAGCATTAAATCAATGGACCAATAAGGCCAAAGCAACTTCTACCCCTATTTTCGCTAACGGAGCGCATTGCGGCCGTCCAATCTTGCAGAGTATACACATCAGTAAGTATGTAGTACACACATATGTATTTAAATCCTCTCAAATACATAACGGCTCCAGCGTCTATTTTCTGCTGAATTGATTGAATTTTTAGTAGTGTTTGCCAGTGCTTGCTCAGTTAAATGCTTGAAATCACAGATATTATAAGGCATTGGTATTATTATATTACGTAATATTATATTACAGATACCACGGGACAAAAAATTCTGTAAGCAAATTGTTTCTTCTATACCTCCCCACGTCTACGATAGTGCTATTTGTTTATCTACCGTAAAGTGATGTAGAGAACTTATTAGAGTATTTATTAGAAAATTTATGAAATTCACAATTGATTACTCAAACCAATCGAACTATATATACATATACATATATACTTTCAGAATTAAGAATTTACATACATCCAATGTAATGTAGTATGTCATAACAAGAAAAATGATTTATGGCCAACATTTTGTTTCTGTCGGTTTATTGGCATGGTGCATACTCGTCTTTATGAACGAATTCTTTACTCTGTTCATTAAGAAATTATATTGCGATTATAATTATGGCTCAAGCGAAACTTAACTCACAAGACAGAGCAGGCAGTACGCTTAAGGATAAGGAGACAGAGTCTGACGAAAAGGAAGGTATCTATCAACTACCACAATAGTTTAATTAATTTGATAATAATCGTTAACATTTGCTATGGATATTTTAATTTTTTTTATATATTTTTATCTATGTATACAGCTATTATAAGTACCACAAAATTATAAATACATAATCTTAATGTGGAACTGTAAACAATGTGTATGTTAATTTTAGTAAAAGATATTTCAGAATGGTATCTTTAATGAAACAACGTCAACCATATAATATAGATAATTTTATTAATATTTCTTTTCTTAGGCTCAACGATAATACCAGAATGTGCAGACTGCCTTCGGCCATGCTTATATCCAACAAAATTACCTTGCAATCATGTTTTTTGTTACCTATGTGTCAAAGGTGTTGCAAATCAAAGCAAAAGATGTCCTATGTGTCGTCAAG